TGGTTCCTGAGTGCAGAGCCAGGAATGACCCCAGAGCATCCCGGGTGTGACCCCAAAAGCAAATCACTGTATCACTGTCATCCCATTGTTCATCAATTTACTCAAGTGGGTGCCAGTAACAGCTCCATTCGTCTTAGCCCTGAGATTTTAGCAGCCTCTCCTTATTCATCTTTCCCAACGCTGCCATATTGGAGGCTCTTTCAGGGTCAGGGGAATCACTTAATCACTTAATCACTTAATCCCCGTTATTCATCGATTTATTCGAGCGGGTGCCAGTAACGTCTCCATTCATCCCGGTTGCGTGCTAGCGTAGCCCAATGGTATCTGTTCGTTTTAGGAACATGTAGAGCCTCAAACCGATCATTTAGGGTCTTGACGAAGAAGTCTGACCATCTTATAGGTGGGCGTCCACGTGATCTTTTGATGTCTCGTGGAATCCAATCAGTAATGGCTCTAGTCCAGCGGTTGTCTGTAAACCTCATTACATGTCCAGCCCATCTGATTTTTGATGTCTTGGCAAATGAGACAGCGTCTCTGATTCTTGAGCGTTGACGAAGATCAGAACTCCGGATTCTATCTCTCATTTGAGTGAATCGTGATATTCCAAGCATAGTTCTTTCGATTCCTCTTTGAGAGACCCGAATAGTGTTCTCATCCTGTTTTCGTAGGGTCCAGGTCTCTGAGGCATATGTTAATGCAGGAAGAATAGTGGAATCAAAGAGATGTGCTCGTAGTTGGAGGTTCTTTGTCCTATTTAGTTATTTCTTCTATTTATTCCTTTAGTTATTATCTCGTCAGGGGAATGAGACCTATTATTGTTACTGTTTTTGGCTATCAAATACGCCACGGGTAGCTTGCCAGGCACTGCTGTGTGGGCAAAATACTCAAATAAATAAATAAAACAAATTATTTCTATGAAATCTAATGCCTAGGTGTTAGTGCATTGCAGATTTTTTTTGCTTTTTTGGGGTCACACCCGGCGATGCTCAGGGGTTACTACTAGTTCTGTGCTCAGGAATTAGTCCTGGCTGTGCTCAGGGGACCATATGGGATGCTGGGAATCGAACCTGGGTTGGCCACAAGCAAGGCAAACACCCTACTTGCTGTGCTATCACTCCAGCCCCACATTGCAGATTTTTAAAGATCTCAGAAATTTCTAGTGAATTATGCACTTTGGCAGAAAGAACATGAGAAAAAAGTGAATTATTTTCTATGTTGGGGGCAGGAGGTTACTAAGGTGTTAGCAGGGGTTACTAAGGGTGCTCAAGGTCACTCCTGGCAGTGCTAAGGGGGCCATATTCAGTGCCTGAGGATCCAACCGTGTCTAGCCGCATGCAAGACTTAACCTCTGTGCGAGTTCTCTGGCTCTGAAAATAATTCTATCTTCCCCTCCAACTTTACCAAGAGTCTGCTGTTGATCAGAACTCTTACCTGAAGGCCATTAACAAATATATTTGTCATGCTATTGTCTCCTTACAGAAAAGGATGGGAATAGGCGAGTTCTTGGTTCACATTTCCCAGCTCTAAAGCATTACTGATAAGACCTTATTTAAAGCCTAGGGTTTGGGGTATCTCTTGAAGCAGTTATAAAATAAAATAAATAATCAAAAATATTAAAGAAGAAGTTAGCAAAGAAAATCAAAGGCTGGAGAGATAGTACAGTGGGTAGGGTGGTAGGGTGTTTGCCTCGCACATGGCCAACCTAGCTTCAATACCAGCACCCCAGATGGTCCCCTGAGCCCCACCAAGAGAGATACCTGAGTACAGAGCCAGGAGTAAGACATGAACACCTTTGGGTGTGCCTCCTGAAAGAAGTAAATGATGAGGGGAAACACATTTACAGTGCTGTACGGAAAATGATTGTGAATTTACATCTTACATCATCTGTTTGGTCTACTGAAACCTTTTGAGGAAAATTTAAGAATTACTCATTATCTTGGGGCTAGAGCAATAGCACAGTGGGTAGGGCATTTGCCTTGAACACGGCTGACCCGGATTCAATCCCCAGCATCCCAGACGGTTCCCCTAGCACTTCAAGGAGTTATTCCTGAGCGCAGAGCCAGGAGTAACCACTCTGCATCGCCCCCCCCAAAAAATTACTCATTATTTTGCTGAAATTCTCTCTTTATAAAACAACAGGAAGTGCCCCCCCAACTCACCTGAAACTATTCTACTCCCCTCTTCATTTATTTCATCATCCCCTGGGGAATAGTGTCACCCACTTTAAGAAACACAAGTCTACATGTTGGGGAAGGCACTTGGGATAAAGAAACCACTATGACAAAGATAGTTGGAAATGATCACACTGGAGAAGAACTGCATGCTGAAAAGAAGTAAAGGAACAAAAATGATAACCTCTCAGTATGAACATCTGTATTGCAAACCATAATGCCCAGAAGGAGAGGTGGAGGATGGAGAGAAAGGGGTGAGGGGTGAAGGGTGAGGGGTGAAGGGTGAGGGAGAGGAAGGGGGAGAAGGAAAGTATCTGCCATAAAGACCGACTGGGGGCGCTGGCGGGACGGGTGGGAAACTGGGGACATTGGTGGTGGGAAATGTACACTGGTGGAGGGAACATTGTATGACTGAACTGGGAGGAGGAGGAGGAGGAGGAGGAGGAGGAGGAAGAGGAGGAGGAAGAGGAGGGAAACACTGGTCCATAGCATTAATAAGATCCTCCATGATACAAACACTTGAGATGTTATATGTATTAATAACACTTGACATCAAAAATGCAAGATTGATAGAAAGAAATTCAAATTTATTTGCAGGTATGATTCGTACATTGATAATCTCACAAAAATTTCTTCCAACATATTTAGTGAAAATATCTTCCCCATACCTGGATGTGCACAGAGCAAACCTACAAGGTTCAAGGGTCAACTGTTTCAGATTTGGCTTCTTCAAAAACAAGGCCATAAAGTGTTTATTTTAACCAGAAGATCGCCAATCCAACACACATACTCTGCCGAGACAGTAGAAATAGTCCCAACATACTAAATTTGCTCCTAAATTGATTTTTTTCCCTGGGTTGAAATGGGTCTCAGTGGGTAAGGGTACTTCCATGGCACCTCTTGTCTTTTGGTCCTGAATAAAGTTTCACAAGAAAAAACATACAGCAAGCCCCATGAGTTCAGCTCTGAATCTGACTTAAGACTTCTAGGCCTGGATTCTGGAAGCTTCTAATGCACCCCATGATTCTAGGTAACCACTAGGGGGCATATCATGGGCATGACTTGTTTGGGGCTCAGTGGTCACCAGCTAAGTTACCATTGACCAAGTTTAACTCTCAGAAATGGAGAGACTTCAATCTAGTGGCCACAGGCCCTACGCTGAGAGCTGCCACACTTCCCTGGAATGTGGATCAGGACACACGTTGCCACTGATTCATCTCACCCACAGAGAGACCAGTGGCGCGGGTGCCTCTGTCTTTGGTTGTGCATTCCAAAATAGCCCTTTGGAAGACAGCTCCCGATGGATTTTTAGGTGCCTACTCCCTTCCCCGTTAATGTTTCTCACAGGACAGCAAAATACAATGGCCCCAAGTCTTCCTGGTTAAACTGGGGGGAGTCTCATATACTGGCCCAAAGATGCTGCTTTTTCTCCTTTATCGTACCTGAAGACTAAGGTTCAGGTTCAAGTTTTGCTTCAGCACTGGGACCGTATCAACTCGCGAAGAGAGCAGCACAGCCCTTGGGCTCTACTTGTCCTAATGGGCACTACAGGGCACCTCCTGGACAGACCCAGGAAAAGCATTTCCTCAAGACAGTTCCATCAGCTCCAACATCACTCTAGGACTGCGGGAGTTAACAGGCAGGTCCTAATTCTGCTTCCTCATCTTCTACACGTCCTAATTCTGCTTCCTCATCTCCTACCCACAGAGCTACTCAAGTGAGGACCAGAAATGGACCCAAAACTGACCAACAGCAATCATCGTCAACGTCACTCATGAGGCAGACCAGACTCTAGTGACACAAGCTGACAAGTACACACAAGCTGACAAACTACACGTTTCCAGACACCAAGTCTGCTGGCACAAACCAAGGCGATTCTCTGTCCCGAACTTGCTCTAGAGACACAGGAAGCATTCGATGGGAAACTCAAGCCAAGTTGGAGTTAACCGACTTGGAGAACGGCAGTGGGTACAGCAAGGTCATGGTTGTTAGAGAGAACTGTATCCACTGTTGCTTATCAGATTCACTACTGATTGCCTTTCTTTCTCTCTCTCTCTCTCTCTCTCTCTCTCTCTCTCTCTCTCTCTCTCTCTCTCTCTCTCTCTCTTATTTCTTTAAAAGAAATGCCTTTGCCTTTGGTGGGGGATTATTTGGGCATTTGCTCAGGATCAAAGTCAGGGACGGTTAAGGAAACTATCTGAGCAAACAGTAGCCCGTGTAAATTCCTGGTACCCGATTATGAGACTTTGGGATTTCCATTTTGGCTCAGTTCAGAAGGAAAGAGGGTTATATGTTTCAAGAGGGGTGGGTGTGGGGGTAAGGGCATAGCCTCTTGTAGGGTGGTCCTGGCTTTCAGTCCATTCAAGTGCTCTTGGCTCGTCAGTGTTGGTACCTTGACAGTCTCCCTCGAGGGTCCCCTTCTTCCTGTCTCCTGGGTGTAGGCATCACTGTGCTTGAAAAAGCAAGGTCAGGAGTCATGGGGGAATAACCCTCTCAGGGAACGTTCTGGAAAACTGCTCATTCCAGCATGGCCTTCTGACTTCGGCAACAGCTGCCTCATTGCGTGACCGGACATCCTGTCCCTCAGAACAAGCACCCACCAACCCAGAATGACCTGTCCGCATCTCCAGTTCGTTCTCCTGACCACCCGAAAGTCTGAGAAATTATAACCTGCACATGGCCCATGGCATGGTACAAAAGGCTTTATAAAAATACTCCCTGCGCATTAAAAACAAACAACGATGCATGTAAACATTGCCTCAGAGTCATCGGAAAACACTGGGCCCCGCGGGCGCCTCTTTCCGACGATTTGTAGTCTTCCATGTTCGCCTCTGAGTGGAGGTATCAATCCGTTTTCCTTTTAACAGAGTTCTCAGGCTGCTTTGAAGCATGAGCCTGCGGCTTGATTGGCAGAAACAGTATCACCAGGAAGCTGAGGATGTGTAAATAAAAGTACACAGACCTAGAAATAAAAATACAAAATTTTATTTCAAACAAGGAGGTCAGTGGGCAACATCACATGAAGGTGGTCAGATCTACAGCCCAGCAGGTAAAGACATGGTCTTTCCCCAGAGTAGACAGATAATGCTCTCCGGCATGGTGAGACACAGCCCACAGATAAATCCCCTTTATCTGGGGGGCAGGGATCAATTGGAATCACAAACTGGGCAAAGCAAACCAGCCCCCAAAATCCCATGACACTGGGTGTCATCAGCGTGTGGATCCACACACTTGTCAATTACTGCCTGTCTCTGCCTTCAAACAATCACTCCCATGCGAACAGGAATGCTGTCTGTATTTTGCTCCCCATTCCAGTCACAGATGCAAACACAGTGCCCGGCTCACAGTAGGGATTAGAGGGTTGAATACAGTCATTTCTGCTATGTGAATCCTGGACAAAACAAACCTATCTACTTCAGTGGCAATTACATCTGCTGAAAATAGCAGGACTTGTGCAAGACCACGTTAGAAGGAGAAAACTCAAAACCTGTGAGACGTTTGTCACCACAGCACTAACAAAAACAACCAGCACTGGGCTTGGGACATCAGGCATGGACAGCTTGCTAGCGTCAGGCTGGTCCGGTGGGATGCTGAAATGTACCGGAGGAAGATGGGCAAAGGAAACACCCACAGCTTGGGCACTGAGAAAGTGACTCCAGCTGAGCTGTGGATGCTGCTTGCTGGCTTAGGGTACCATTCTGGCACCTCTTTGCTGGAAAAACTAGCAGAGAAGTCTGCTTAACATTGCCTCTTTACTGACATAACTATAAGAGAGGAAGTGAGGAAGAGAGGGGCAATTAATCTAGACCTCTGATTGGTCCCCTCCTTTATATACCTCTATCCAACTGGTCCACCCACAATCCCTCATTTACATATGCTAACCCTATCTGATTGGCTGGAACTACAAACCTTCACTTACATAGGACGTTATCAATGAGATCATCCTGACCTGACTCCACTAAGGCATGTGTACAGGGTTTGTTTAGAAACTCTGGCATGGAGACTTCAACTTGCCAACTTCGTAGACAACAGACACATTTATGAGAGGGCGTCTGAAAATGACGCGGACTTACATGTATAAACTAATGGTTGGCTCCACAGCCAGCATGACGAAGGGTGCAACCGTGTAGGAGACAGCCAGCTGAGTGACCGCCCAGGTGACCACATCATACACAAGCTTCAGAGCTTTGGAAGAAAGGAAGTAATGCCTGTAGTTGTTTCTCACCTGCAAGCCAAGGAACCAAAGGGACAGAGATGAAAACTGCAAAGAACCTTCATGCATGCAGCTCTCAGGAACATAAGCCATGGAAAATACCAGTCATGTGCCTTGGATTTTTCCCTTTTCCTTATTTGTGCCTGTTACCAAACCCTGAAGCATGCAATCTGCTACTGAGTCACATTCCTGGCCAGGTGAGTTGTATTTCCCCTGAAAGTACCACTACTTGTAAGATAACATTGGTTTGTCCTTTCTCCTCTGCATCAAGGAGCTTAGATTTACTGAGTAACACCCATCACAATGCTCGGTATTCTACAATTCCTCGGTATTCATCTTTAACTTCTCTGTGCTCTGCTTTCTCTATATATGTTAACCACTCACTACCCCTAAACATCCGTCGACGATCAAGAATCAGGGACGCTGTCTCATTTGCCAAGGTGTCAAAAATCAGATGGGCTGGTCACGTAATGAGATTTAAAGACGACCGTTGGACTAGAGCTGTTACTGACAGGATTCCACGGGATGTCAAAAGACCGCGTGGCCGCCCACCTACCAGATGGTCAGACTTCTTCATCAAGATCATGAACAATCGGTTTGAGGCCCTTCATGATCCCGGAGCGAAGAGATACCATTGGGCTACACTAGCACGCGACAGGGACAAATGGAGACGTTACTGGCGCCCGCTCGAGCAAATCGCCGACTAACGGGAAGTTAAGTGATTAAGTGATTAAGTGACCCCTAAACAGAACGTGTGATTTGTAATTGGTAATTTGTGATTTGTATTTGTAAGTGAAACACCGCTTTTCTCTTTCCCTTGTGTCTTTTGCATAGTCTTATTTTAGAGCAATGTCCTTTTTGTATAGATACAGGAAGACAGTTAATGATATGCTTTTGTAACTTGGAAGTTAAAATTGACTCCGAATAATATTTATTCCTGGGCATCTGTCATATTTACTCAACATAAGCCTCAGTGGACCTTAGTTCCTAGCACCCCCAAAGCAGGATCCCAACAGAGGGACTGGATGGACCCGGGGCAAGTTATAAGTAAATCAAAACAGGACAGGCCAAGTGCCATAAAACTTATAATAAGCTAAGAGCACGGTCGTGGACAAATTCTGTCATGACCTAAAAAGAAGTGACTGAACAAGGACCCTGCAAGGATTAGGAAGGACTAATCTGGCCTGAGGACTGTGGTCTGGGATCTATAGAGAGATGTCCCCAGGAGAGACACCCTATAAACTTAATATGTCTCTTACTGTGTCCATACAAAATGACTAGAAAGATTATTAAGAAGTAAATCTAAGATGATTGTTTATGGATTAAGGAAAGGAGAAGTATGCCCTTAGATGAAAAACAGTTCCTTGAGCAGATCTCCTAGCAGGAGGAGATCTCTGTCTTAGAAGAGCTTCCCTGGAAGGAAGGGAAGGGCTTTACATATGTTGATTGTGCTCTCTGACCTAGGTGTGGTTTCTCACCCAACCTTTGGGGGCTGGGATCTAGGCTAAAACTGCAAGACTGGGAATGGGGAGAGTAGCATGAGGGACAGGAGGAGACGGGATTGAGGGGCAACGTGAGAATAGAATGGGGCACTCAGTGAAACTGAAACAGGCACGTTGGGAGAATGGAATAAATGACGGGATGTTTATTGGAGATTGGAATAAACTGCAACTGATCACCAAACAGCCTGGTCCTCGTTTCCTCCTTCATCTGCCAATTGCCATCGGCCATCCAGGATAGGGAAACAGCTCATGGCCACCAAATGCACATGGAGAGAGAACACACACACTTTTTATTGAATACATAACTAATGTTGTGTATTTTCTTATGATAAATAACTTTTCTTATGATAAAATAAAAAGCACATATTTACTGTAGAAAAAAGTCTTCAAAGGACTAAGAAAAAAATTAAATTTCACAGGGAAGAGCACTATTTAATCTGGAATCTGTCTTTCGCCCTTATATTGAAAGAATCCATATTAGGGCATCAAATTTTTGTGTACTTTAGCTAACTTGCAACATTGCTTTCTGTAAAACTGCTTGGCTGCTTTGCACGTGGGGAAGAGGGGACTTGGAAAGTGAACAGGGCATAACTTCTTTTCTAAACCAAGTGTGACAGGATTCAGGTGTATTTACTGTCCCTGAAATGTATTGTCTCAGTAAAGCACCCTGCAGATTTGGGTAAAGGATAACTCAGGATGCGGTGTTTGGGGGAAATTGCCCTTTCCTGGAGTGTATTGTCTCACTAAAGCACCCTGCAGACTTGGGTAACTCAAAACGAGGATGGTCAAGGGAGATTACCTAAGGCTTAATGATTCCAGCTATAACCTTGCTTGTGTTGACAATCGATGTACGTAAATGCTGATCTTTGAATCTATAGGCTAAGGAGTGAGGTACTTTTAAATGGATTGGTTAAGAAAGTATATGTTGTTACAAATCTATTGGCGATGAAATGCGCGGGCTTTGCTGTAACGGCCAGTGAAGGCCTATATAAGATCCCCTTTGAAGAAGTTCGGGGCTCTCAGCCACTGCCCATTTTTGGGGTATGCTGCGGAGCCCCAGCATGCTGGCCTAAATAAACCCCGTTTTTACTCCTGCAGGAATTGTGTCTATCTGGTCTCTCCGCGCCTCCCAGGGCTAGGGAACTCCCGATCCCAACAATATGTACATAGCCACATTTGCATTCTCAATGGCATTGAAGAATTTTAGCCGGCTTTTTCATTTAGTAATATGTCGCAAATTATTTTCCACACTGGCAACCACTAATCTCCAATATGTTTTTAATTATGGAAAAGTAACAACCTACCACCTCCTGCTTACTGATAAGCAATTTTGTGGTGCATATCCTTGCAGAGAAATCTCTGCACCATTCCTAAAGTATTTTTCTTGGACTAACAGTGTTAAATCGGGCGCGTTCAGGGTGGTATATCTTGCCATCGAGGATAATAAAAGCAGCTGTCATTTTCTGAGTGCTTACCATACGTTAAATCTGTATTAACATGTTTCACTGGTATCATCTTTGCTAATTTCCCCAACAGGTCCTTCATGGAAAGGTTCATTGCGCCCATTTTACAGGAGAAAAGGAGACAATTCTCTGACATGGAGAGGGCTGGGTCAAAGAGTGACTCACAGGTCTTTTGACACCAGTGACTAGATTTGCCCCCAGCAAGACACATCATTTCCAGATCCAAGAACCAAAGCACAACTAAAACTAAGGTGAGGAAACTGGGAGGGGAGGAGGGTCAAACTCAAAGCAAACAAAGCCTTGAAGGGCCTCCTGGAAATCGAAGGATTCACCCCATCCTCTCTATTGCTACCTGGGAGGGTCCCAGGTGGACAATCAGGTGGAGGTACTAGAAAGTTGCTCCAGAGAGGACACATATTCTCCAGGGCCTGTGTGAGCCTTCTGGGGAAACTGGGAACTTTCCTAGGTGACTTCCCAGGCCTATAATCTAACAACCTATCGTATGACATTTCAGCCACCATTCGGGGGAAAAAATGGGAATATTGTCTTATCAACTGCCCCTTCCTGCTTCCTACCTTACTGACTTGTCTCTTCAGGCTTTCCATGAGATACCAGTAATATTACACATAGATTGGTGTCCCTATCCCCACTCCTGGCACTGAGCACCCAAGTAGCCAGAGCACGGGACCACCTTTGGGTCTCACGTTTGGCCTCTGACCCTGGTTCCTGACATCGAGTTCCTACATGCTTGGAATTTCCTGGGGGAACTGCAGAGTCTTTTTTCCTAAGGAGATGAGTCCTGTGAACTCCAGGACAAGCACTGGCTGTAGGATATGCAGGGTAGCATTGGAACTTTGGGAATTCCAGTTCCAGTCCTGTTTCTTAATAGAGGGGCAGTGCTGGAAAGGAAGTTAATGATCACCCGCGTTTACGTGACAGAGTCTGCAGCAAATCCTATGGATTAGAGAACTGAGCTTGGTGAACAGATGCGTGTGGAGGTGGGGGTGCTGGAGGCCCCAGGGCAGACAGGGAAGCTCCTCCCCATACACCTTTGTAGGATGAAATTCTTTTCACCTGGGTTCACATGCACCTTTTATTATCTCCTTTTATAATTACCGCTAAACTCAAGAAAATCTTTCTGTATCATGTTAAGCGAAATGAGTCAGAGAGGGATAGACATAGAAAGATTGCATTCATCTGGGGAACATAAAGTAACAAAACAGGAGACTAACACCCAAGAATGGCTGAGATTAGTACCAGGAATTTTGCTCCATGGCTTGGAGGCCAGCCACACATGCTAGGGGGAAAGGCAGCTCAGATAGAGAAGGGAGCACCAAATAAAGGGTGTTGGGAGGATCCTGCCAGAATGGGAGAAGCATGCTGAAAGTAGACTATAGACCAAACATGATTGCCACTCAATGCCTCTTTTGCAGACCACAACACCCAAAAGGAGAGAGAAAACAAAAGGGAATGCCCTGCCACAAAGGCAGGGTGGGATGGGGGGATGGGGGATGGGAGGGATACTAGGATCCGTGGTGGTGGGAAATAAGCACTGGTGGAGGGATGGATATTTGATCATTGTATAATTGAAACCCAAGCACAAAATTTGTAAGTCTACAACTGTACCTCATGGTGTGTCACTAATAAAAATTAAAAAAAAAAAATTTAAACATTTAAGAAAAAAGAAAGAAAACTCTTTCCCTGAGTTGCATGAGCTGCTTTATCATATTAATAGAACTTGGGGAGAGGATACTGGGAACTGGATTTTGAGTGAACAGTCACCGGTGACAACCTGGTGAAAACCTGGACTTGTGATTGGTGCCTAAAGTGGTTTTCGGGGGGTGGGGTGGGGTAGATGAGTCAACCAAGCAATCTTACAGAACCGAGTCCTCAACCAGTGGGATCTGATGCTAACTCCAGGCAGGATTAATTGCATTGCAGACCCTCCCCATCCCCAGCCACTGTTCTAGTGAACTACTTGTGCAAAGACTCCCCACGTGGTATGACAGGTATTTTCCAAACACCATCCAAAATAAGGGATTCATTAAAATCCAGGATTTTATGCCAATTTCAATAACAGGCAACACGTATTTGAAGGAATTGTACTAAGAAATATCTCAACCACCAAAATTCTGGCCTTTGTGTATTAGTTTCTTCTGGCCATCTGTTCTTTAGTTTTCTTTTGTGATCTGCGTGTGTTATAAATGGGCGAGAAGGAAGTGCCCTCTCTGTTTTCTATGTACAAATAGTACAAATACAAACAACAGTGTCAATGAACTTGAGTAGAAATCAATGAACCATCTTCTTCACACACACACACTCACACACACACAACAAACCATCAAAAATTCTATGCGGGAGGGACTGGAGCTGACAATATTGATGGGTTTGTAGTAGGACATCTGAAATATTTATAGATGAATTAAAGAACTCCTCAGTAGTCAGCCTGGGGTTCCTAAGTTTTCATTCAAAATACAGTTCAACGAATGGCATGAAGTACTCTGGGACGTGACTCAGAGAGATGAGGCTTTGGATTTTATCCACATATCATAATGGAAAAAATTCTTAGCACCTCAATGGGAGGCCAGAATCACAAGGAAAGGATAAAATTAAATCAAAGATAACACAAATGAGAGCAATTTATAACTCCTTACACCCTTTGAGATGGGAATCTCATTCCTTTATTGTCCTCCTCTCCAACCAGCAAATAGAAGGAACCATTGTGGACAAATCAAAGGTTACTCAAGAAAACCTAAAAACCAAATGTATACAATTCTCCAAGAACGGTGCCCAAACCAACAGAACGGGATCTGGCTGGAAGGTTCTAATAATCTCTAACAGAAGACAGTTCCTGATGGCTGCAATTTTACTGACTATTGACAGCTTCTGACTTTCTAGGCTTAGGCTAGTGAAAGGAGAAACAGGAAGATGATACCTACAGAGCCAATATGAATGATCACCTTCAGCGATTAGTAGATGGGATATGCTTACAATCTTTAGTGATTAAAAATGCCCTATTGTATATGTGATATTAAGCATGACTCACAAAAAAATCCCTTGGCAAAGACTCTCTGGAAAGATCTGGAAACAAGATCGTTCACCATTTTTTTTTATATATATTAAAAAAAAATTTTAATAGTGAGACATCATGAGGTACAGTTGCAGACTTACACATTTTTGTGCTTGGATTTCAATTATACAATGATCAAATACCCATCCCTCCACCAGTGCCCATTTCCCACCACCATGGATCCCAGTATCCCTCCCACCCCCCATTCCCCCATCCCACCCTGCCTCTGTGGCAGGGCATTCCCTTTTGTTCTCTCTCTCTCTTATTGGGTGTTGTGGTTTGCAAAAGAGGCAATGGGTCGTTCACCATTTTTGACCATGAGCTCTCCTATATTAAAGTATCTCCCCCATGGGAAAACTTTAGTTATTTGAATTTTCAAAAACAGCTACACATACAGAGGAAAAGGCCCCACCACCAGAGGAAGCTTACCGTTCTGGCTGCTAGCGTGACAAGGGTTCCAGTTAAGAAGGTAAAATAGTATCCGGGGTAGACCCCATGCCACAAGGCAGACAGGATGAAGGTTAGCACCGTGGGGTACCATGGAACCCGCTCGTAGCACACTCTATAAAGAAGAAGCCACAAGTCAAACACACCAGAGACTTCTAGAAACACTCACCTCTTTCTGGATGAGAAAACACAGAAGTCATGCAAAGAATGACTGCCTGCTTAACTGCCAGCAACAGAATCTTGGCTTTTTGCAATGTTCCCTGAAAAGCTGAATCTTTGTAGGAGTCAAAGGCATTGCTAATCTCCAAAGAACTAACTTACCTAGACCCTATTGCAAAGCAGCTAAGACAAGTCTCAGTGCCTGTTTCTACCCCACCTTCTAGCTTATTCCACCATGGCCTGAACCATAAGGAAGTTGGATGTCTCCCAAATGGTCCTCAGAGAGTCTAGGGGCCACTCCTCATAATTTTTGACCAACCAGGCCAGATGGGTGAATGCTAGGGCCTGGAGACTCAGTGATGTTTGAGTCTTATGCTGTTTGGCACCCCTCAAGGTCACGTACAGATCTGGGGTCGGTGGGGGTAGGTGGGGAGCATGTGATGCCAGGGACTGAACAAAGGTCCTGCGTATGTAATACATGTGTCCTAATCCTTGTTCCCTCTTCTGTTCCCTTTGACTTAGTATTTTTAATATGCTCCTTGTATTTATATGATAGTTAAATTCACAAATGTTTGCTGCTTCAAGGATAGCACATGATGATTGCCGCTGAATGCCTCTTTTGCAAACCACAGCACCCAAAAGGAGAGAGAACAGAAGGGAGTGCCCTGCCACAGAGGCGGGATGGGATGGGGGGATGAGGAGGGTGGGAGGGATACTGGGATTAGTGGTGGTAGAGAATGGGCACTGGTGGAGGGATGGGTACTCGATCATTGTACAACTAAAACCCAAGCACAAACATTTGTAAGCCTACAACTGTACCTCATGGTGTTTCACTAAAAAAAAAAAAAGGATAGCATATGATTAGTTCAATAATAAGTGGCCTGTCCTTCCTTCCTTCCTTCCTTCCTTCCTTCCTTCCTTCCTTCCTTCCTTCCTTCCATATTTCCTACCTTCCTTCCATCTTTCCTTTCTTCCTCCCTTCCTTCCTTATTTCCTTTCTTCCTCCCTTCCTTCCTCCTTCACTCCCTTCCTTCCTCCCTCCCTTCCTACCATCCTCTCTTCCTCCCTCCCTCCCTTCCTTCCTCCCTCCCTTCCTACCATCCTTCCTTCCTTCCTCTCTTCCTCCCTCCCTCTCTTCCTTCCTTCCTTCCTTCCTTCCTTCCTTCCATCTTTCCTTCCTTCCATCTTTCCTTCCTTCTTCCCTTCCTTATTTCCTTTCTTCCTCCCTTTCTTCCTCCTTCACTCCCTTCCTTCCTCCCTCCCTTCCTACCATCCTTCCTTCCTTCCTCCCTTCCTTCCTTTCCTTCTTCCTTCCTTCCATCTTTCCTTCCTTCCATCTTTCCTTCCTTCCATCTTTCCTTCCTTCCATCTTTCCTTCCTTCCTTCCTTCCTTCCATCTTTCCTTCCTTCCTTCTTTCCTTCCTCCCTCCCTCCCCCCTACTGTCCTTCCTTCCTTCCTTCCTTCCTTCCTTCCTTCCTTCCATCTTTCCTTCCTCCCTCCCTCCCTCTCTCCCCCCTACTGTCCTTCCTTTCTTCCTTCTTCCTTCCTTCCTTTCCTTCTTCCTTCCTTCCTTCCATCTTTCCTTCCATCCATCTTTTCTTCCTTCCTTCTTTCCTTCCTTCCTCCCTTCCTTCCTTCTTCCCTTCCTTCCTTCTTCCCTTCCTTCCTCCCTCCCTTCCTTCCATCTTTTCTTCCTTCCTTCTTTCCTTCCTTCCTCCCTTCCTCCTTCACTCCCTTCCTCCCTCCCTCCCTCCCTTCCTACTGTCCTTCCTTCCTTCTTCCTTCCTTCCTTCCTTCCTTCCTTCCTTCCTTCTTTTCCTTCTTCCTTCCTTCCCTCCTTCCTTCTCCCTTTCTTCCTTCTTTCCTTCCTTCTTTCTTTCCTTCCTTCCTGAAGAAGTAGCATAGGAGCTAAGGCCTGTGGCTACTTCAGCAGATCCGGCTTCAATGCTGATAATACCTATTTCCCCTGAGCACCACCAGGGGCTCATTCCTGAGCATCAAGCCAAGAATAGCCCCAGAGCAATGCCAGATATGACCCAACCACCCTCCCCTTCCAAATTAAAATGTTTTTAAACAAATGAAATAAAGTAAGTACATTCCATTGCAAGCCTTTTCCGGTCCATCTACTTTGCCATTGAGCAGGCCAAGAAGTTAAGACAGCCCAGCCATGTGGGCAAAGTGATCGCTGTACAAGGAGAGTCCCCTAATCACTGCCAGCCCCACGCCACTTAGCGCCAGGAACGATGAGCTCATGTTCGGTTTCCTTACCGCTTCAGCCAAGTTGCTGTCTGAATATTCCAGTTCTCTAAGTACATTTTGAAACTCGTGGCAGTCTAGAGAGAAGAAAACAACACCTATCATTAACTTTAAAAATACCCCAAGTCCATGGAAAGTCCTCCCCAGAATTTCCCTGGCCACAGAGGCAATGGGCTATTTCAGCTGAGGATTCTGAAGTGGCTCCATCATACATGGGGACGTGTCCTCGGTCTGTGAGACTGACTTTGCTTCTAAAACTTGGCTTGCCCAGACTTTCCATTTTCCTCAAACTTTACTCTAAAATGGTAGATACACCGAAGTAATGGTTTGCGGTTTTTTCTTCCACTCTGGTTAAAAAAAAATTATTTAAAACAAAACTCCCTAAAAGAAGGTTTTTCCATAGGAAATGGTTCAGGACAAGACTTTAGTCTCTTGGTGCTCACAGCTTGAGGTTTGCTATCATTTCCTCAATGAGGGGCCATATATATATATATATATATATATATATATATATATATATATATCAGGTGAGTCTTGATATTCCTCTGCAAGTAGCTCTACAGGTTCAAGTGTTTCTGGTTCTACCAATAACAGAAAGCGATTTTATGCATGAAGGGATCATAACATAAGAAGGGGGGGAAAAATCACTCAACTAGGAGTGAGCATTAACCAGGATTTCTCAGCCCAAAACAAACAAAAATGTCTGGGTGAGAGATAGTACAATGGGTAAGGTGCTGACCTTGCATATGAACAACCCCGCTTCAATCCCCAGTACAACATGTGGTACCCTGAGTGAGGCCCAACTACAGCCAGATATGATTCAAACACAAAAGTAAGTAATTTTTTAAATGGTCTCAGGAGATCTGGGAAGCAAAATCTGGGACCAGAGGCCCCATAAAGCTGGAAAGTGCAAGAACCACTGACTTTCTTTTCAGGTTAAAAAGAAAAATCTTAACTAGGTTATATACTCTGGCACAAGATATTACGTCTGAGAGGAAGGGAGGAAGAGAGATGATGGGAACATGAGCAAGATGGATGTGTTTTGCATTACCAGTTTAGAGGAGTTGTTTATTGTCAAGGGACCACACCTTGGAAAGAACTCAGGGAATACGGTGGTACTGGGAATCAAACCCAGGACTTAGCACACATCAGGCTTGTGACTCGGTGTGTGACCTACCACTTGAGCCACATCCCTGGACCCCATATTAAATTTTATTTCAGTACCCTAGGAGTTTTATTTCTTTCACATCTTCGAGTCTAACAAAATGCTATGTGCACAGCAACTTCTGGGACCTTAACTCAATCCAACATCTATCATTTACTTTAGCTCCTTGCTCTAGATCAACACCCTTGAACAGGTGTACTTTCTCCTCTGGTTTCCTTTCATGAATCATACATGACATCCCAACATCATCTTTACCCTGAACATACACTCTCAGTGAGAAGACTTATCTTTGGGGGGGTCACAGTTCAGAAACCCGTAGGGAATCAAGGACAGGGGAGCCATTCTCCCACAATCCTCCAAGACAGCCACTTTGGATGAGAAGATGGAAGAGAGTTCCAACACAGCTGGGATTCTCCCTATCAAAGAAGGTTCTAGAAGCTTCTAGAAGACTGACATTGCTTCCACCATGATAAAGGTGGTTCCGGAGACTTTCCCTTGTCCCTTTAAGATGAAGAGAGCCATGGAGCCACCTATGCCCAGGTCTCCTTTTGACTGAGGAGGGTTGCAGGCGGTCAGTGTCTGCCTTCTGGGATTCCTGGTTTCCCATATTCAGCCCTTTCTACCCAGACTCTCTTGGCACGCTGCATGCAGTGTGGTGGGTGGCAGCAACCCAACTCTCAGCCATTGTGAGTCACCTGGCTGGAGATCAGGCACTCAGGGGTGTGCAGAATCAGGCACTCCATACCCCGGCCACCTTAGCCAGCATCAAAAGGAAAGAGCTAAGACGTATGTGGCTCTCAGCAACAAATGCTGGCAACACCAATGAAGTCAAGAGTAGGGTGGCCCCAAAGGTTCCCCCCCTCAGAGGACGAAGACAGATTGAGAATGCTGGTAAAATTGGAGAAAGAGGAAACACACCATGCAGATTCTAGGAACCTAAAAGCTACATCACTGCGAACAGTGAGATTGAGATTCCCATGGACCCCAGAGAGCTTGCAATACTGGCTCTCAATCCAGAACCTTTGGGTCTGTGTTCTTAAAGACTAAAAGGTCAAACGCAATCCAGAGGGGGAGAGTCTTTGGACTTGCCAGTTGAAAGAGCAGAAACGTCAAGGATGGAAACATTCTCCTGGCTTATTTTCAGCATCCTTGGATTGTTTCATCAATCCTCAAACCACTAAAACTATCAAGAAGGTGGGTACCTTACCAAAAAAAAGGAAGAGGAGGAAACAGCCAAAGATGCAAAATAGCTAGGAGACTGCAAGGACGTGGCTGTCCCTGAGAGCAGCCTTGCAAATCAGCTTTCCTGGGTACCACACCCTAAGCACAACCACTGGCACATTTTCTAGGAGGGATTCGGACAAACACAGAAAAGTCAACTCACCTCAATTTTCCAGATGTTGAGGTTAGAAAGCAGATCCCAACAGAAATTTCCATTCTCATCCACACCGCTGAACCCAAAGCCAGCTGCATTATTCACCGCATCAGCTATGGTTTTTAAAACAACATGTTAGGAAAGGGGACACAAAGTCACACAGTGCGACTTCCAAGACGACTAAATCCCCACGTGGTCTTCAGCTCCAGAGCCTGGCAGTCATTTTCTTGGAAAAAAAAAAAAAGAGCCCAGGCAGACGCAAGTCTTGAGTATGGGTATGAATTAGGAGTCATTTTTGGCTCTTGGGCGGCCTGGAGTCTGGATTTGTTTGTTGTTTTTCATTCACTTGTGTTTGATGAGCACAGGCAAAGTAAAGAGCAAGTAGAGAGAAAGTAAGGAGAAGTACAGAGAGTGAGAAGAGAAATAAAAGCCAAACTAAATAAACAGAGATTTAGGGAGCAACTTGACACAAGGGAGGAAATGCAAGGAGGGGAAAACACACACTCAGAAGCACAGACCAGAAAGAAGCCCCTGTGGTATGGTGCTGCCAGCAAGTCAATCTGTACCTGTGAGGCGAGTGCATCAGCAGCCTGATGGTGCCTTCAGACTTCCAGCTACCTCAACATTGCTGCTGTGTCTTTGGCCAGACGCCAAAAACTTGGGGCAAATTTTACCAAGAAAGTAAACAGCCAAAAATTAGGTATGTGGGAGACACACCCACAAACCACCTCAGCTATATAATTGAAGGCATGGCCTCTCTGGTTTCTGATCGAACTGCTTAATGGCCATGATCCCAAAGACTCAGAAACAAATCTTGAAACCCAGCGGCTTTTGGCAGAAAGACGTCCCGTCCCTACAGTAGGTTACAGGTGCTGGGCCAACTCAGGTGGGAATAGGTTTTGTGCCTTTGCCTGTTCCCCCTGGTGGCCCAGTGGCTACCATCCTCCAGAGGCCACTGGACAGTCAGGTTTGGGCCTGGAGTGATGAGACACAGAGGCCTCACAGGATGGGGGTGGAGCTGGCCCTTTCCTCCCTACCCCAGCAAGACCCCGAGTTGCCGCCCACGAATGGCCTCTATGACTCCTGATCAAGCTGCTTAACGGCCATGATCCCAGAGATCAGAAACAAATCTCGAAACCCAGCAGCTTTTGGCAGAAATGCGTCTGGGCCCCGCAGTAGGTTACTGTCGCCAGGCCACCCCAGGGGGGAAAGGGTGCTGTCCCTCTGCCTGCTCCCCCTTGGCAGCTCAGAGACTGTCACCCGTCAGAGGCCATTGGACAGTCAGGTTTGGGCCCACTGTGACAAGACATGTGGGGCCTCACGGGATGGGGGTGGAGCCAGCCCTTTCCTTCTTATCCCAACAAGACCTTGGGTCACTGCCCATGAACGGCCTCTCTGGCTCCTGATCAAGCCATTTAATGGTTATGATCCAAGAGATTCAGAAACAAATCTCGAAACCCAGTGGCTTTTGGCAGAAATACATCCGGTTCCTACAGTAGGTTACCGGCACTGGGCCACCCCAGGTGGGAACAGGTTTTGTGCCTTGGCCTGTTCCCCCTGGCGGCCTGGTGGCCACCAGCCCCCAGAGGCCACTGGACAGTCTGGGCCCTCAGTGACGAGACACACAGGGCCTCACGGGATCGGGGTGGAGCCAGCCCTTTCCTCCCCAACCCCAATGAGACCCAGAGTCACCTCCTACGAACGGCCTCTCTGGCTCCAGATCAAGCTGCTTAACAGCCGTGATCCCAGAGACTCAGGAACAAATCTCAGAACCCAGCAGGTTTGGGCAGAAATCCCTCCAGATTTAAGTGTTAAAATTTCAGAATTTCAAAATTGTGTGGCCACTACTGTAGCCATGTTACATCATATGTTATTCTTAACCAAGAATAGAAAACAAATTGTCTATTGTTGCCTTTTCAGCAGATCTGAGTGTTGGGGTAAAATCCCAAATAATTATGGTGGGTCTGATGTCAAAATATTGAATGTGATCAAAGTAGAGAGAGAGTAATGTGGAAATCATCTGCCCCACAGGTAGAGGGAAGGTGTGGGATGGGGGTATACTGGGGTTTTTGATGGTGGAGAATGGGCACTGGTGAAGGTACGGGTGTTTCATTGTATGACCGAGACTTAAACCCGAAAGCTTTGAACTTCTCTCATGGTGATTCAATAAATAAAATTATAAAAAAAATGAAAAAAGAAATAAAGAAGCCCCCGTGGACCCCAACTATAGACAGCAAGCAGGGCATCACTGAGGGACAGCTTTTGGTCAGATGGACCAACTCCAATGGACAAACTAGTGCATTCTCTGGACACAGGAGGCATGGCCTGCCGGCAGGACAGCACAGAGGGCCCTTAAGAAGCAGCTGGAGAATTTTAGAACCCAAGCAAAAGAAGAGAGGAGATGATGAACAGGAGCCAGATGCTCCCCATGGACACAGTGACCCAAAGTATCCTACTGGGAACATCAGTTGAAATGTTCTGATATGTTTTTCAACTTACTGATCTAAAAAAAAAAATACCTGTAAGGTCTAATCAATTTCTGAATAAAATGCTTTTTAAAAATCACGCAGAAACCTAATGAAATCAATACACATTTATGATGATAACCAAGAAGCTTCTTTTCTCTTTTCGTTTTTCTTGAGTTAAAATATTTCTTTAAAAGGAATCAAGTGCAGCCGCTCTTGCGGGTGCATAACATTATATTATGTCCATAACAAGCAATACAAAACACATTCTTTAGCATTGCATTTTCAAGAGGTATGAGGGGTGGTAGAACTGGTCTTGAAATAACCAAGGTAACTAAAGTGGAGAAAGAATATTTTGCAAATTGTCTTCCCTACAGGCAGGGGGAGGTGTGGAATGGATGTGTGGGGGGTGGAATCTGGGGATTTGGTGGTGGAAAGCGTGGACTGGTGAAGGGATAGGTGTTTGATGACCATCTGATAAAAGTTCAAACATGAGATTTTTGTTACTGTACCTCATGGTAAATTAATAAAAAAAATTTTTTAAAAAGGAATCAAACTATGGGCCAGGGCTCAAAGGGCTGAAGAAATGTGTGCCATGCATGAAACCCCAAATTCAACCCCCAACACAACCGAACATCCCCAGGTCTGTAAAGTATATCCCTGAGCAGACCCCTGAGCATTGCCAGATCTGAGTATTGAGTGCATCAGGCCAGTACCCCTGGGCTGAGTATCAGGGTGGGTTGTCTCAAGGGTCCCCAAAGACCAAAAATGAACTGAGTCAGAGCACTTTGAAAGCTAAAACTTGAGAGGCTGGAGCAATAGTAGAGTTGGTAGGGCATTTGCCTTGCACACAGCCAACCTGGGTTCGATCCCTGGCAACCCATATGGCCCCCCGAGCACCACCAGGAGTAACTCCAGAACACAGAGCCAGGATGAACCCCTGAGCATCGCCAGGTCTGAGAAAGAAAGAAAGAAAGAAAGAAAGAAAGAAAGAAAGGAAGGAAGGAAGGAAGGAAGGAAGGAAGGAAGGAAGGAAGGAAGGAAGGAAGGAAGAAAGAAAGAAAGAAAGAAAGAAAGAAAGAAAGAAAGAAAGAAAGAAAGAAAGGAAGGCAAGCAAGCAAGCTGAAACCTGGAGGCATCCTGAAAGACATCTTTCTTCATCATCATTCTACTTCTGATCTCGGGGCATTCAAGTTCAACCCAAGATGGATTCATGAAGGGTTCCCATACAGGAGAAAGAGGAAACCCTGACATTGGCAGCCGCCAGGAGGGGCCTGGCAGGTATTGCACCAAGTCAGTCGGAGGAAGAAGGGCAGATACTGTACATGGAATCTAATGAAACAAAGATGAGCAGACAGAACAAACTGGCTTTGATTCAGAGGACACACCGGTGAATAACAGAAGGGAAGTGGGTGGAGAAACAGGTCAAAGGGGTCAAGCGTCTGAGCGACCACGGACCCTGCATATTCAGTGGAGACCCCAGTGAGTGCTGTTCAGAGTCTGGATTACAGTCTCTGAGACTCACGTCATGTCAAGCTGCAGAAACCTTTGCAAGTTTTTGTTTTAAATGAGAGAAAAAATAAAAATAAAAAATAAAAACAGCCTGTTCTGTATGTGCCTGCTGTGGCTATGCAGATGTCATGGTGCTGACCTTCTCGGCAGCATCACGGTGAAGTGACCTGGCTTCTTTTCAAACCAAGAATGCAAAGCACTGCACCTCGGGGTGTCATTCTCCTACACCCACTGGCTGCAGACCCAGCAGGGAGCAGAAAAAGGAAAACAAGGCGAGGCTGTGGCCCGTGTTCTCTTAACACACTGCGCGTTTTGAATGTGTGGGAACAAGTTGGTGAGTGATGTGACCGGGCATAAATGTGGAAAGAAAACGTCCTTAAAGAGCTCTTTGTAGGGGCTGGAGTGATAACACCGTGGGTAGGGCATTTGCCTTGCACACAGCCAACCTGGGTTCAATTCCCAGTATCCTGTATGATCCCCTGAGCACCGCCAGGGGTAATTCCTGAGTGCAGAGCCAGGAGTAACCCCTGTGCATCACTGGATGTAACCACCCCCCAAAAAAGAGCTGTCTTTAAACTAACACTAAAAGCAAAGCAGAGCTGACCCAGGCAGAGACCAGCAAAGCAAACTCTCAATTCCCTCTCTGGCCTCAGACCAGGCACACCTGGTGAGAACAGGCATCAGAGAGCTCAATGTGATGAGGGCATGCCAGGTTCCATACCAGGTCCCAGACACCACATGGTCCTCTGAGCACCACTGGGAGAAACCCCGAAGCACCAAGATGGGAAGAACAACTGAGCACTGCTGGGCGTGACCAAGCCCACCTCACCCCCAAAATAAAATAAAATATCTAAGAGAACAGAATAATAATTAACTTGTGTGTGGATGCTTCTGATCTCTCTAGGTCTCTACGAAGCACTCTCCAAGCCTCTCTCACTGAAGGCTCACAAGGGTGTGTGGTTGCAAACGGAAGACTCTAGGATTCCCAGCATCCCTCGGCAACAAGTACCTGAAAGGTCTTGCTCAGGGGATTTATCTAACTTGTAGAAATCTCTTCACTCAATGCCCTGCCACAGAGGCACAGTAGGATGGGGGGAATGAGGGGGTGGGAGGGAGACTGGGATTAGTGGTGGTGG